TGAGCTAACGTTTCAAGCATGACTGTTGCTTCACCCTTATATGTAATTGACTAAATTTCATTTATGAACCGTATATTTAAATTTGTCAATATTTCGCCAATTCTGTCAAATTGTTGCAATAGTTTTTGATTACAAGTGAAATTCAAATTCTGGTTTTTAATAGATGAAATAAAATACATATCACTCACAATATATCACTCATAGTGTGGGTAATGCAAAATGTATAGATTTGCAGAATTTCTTGAAGACTACGTATTAACTTATGATTGAATTTCCGTAAATTTCTAAATTTACATAAAAATATATAGTTGCTTTTTGTTCCTTATGTCATATTTCTCGATTCAAGTTAATTTATCTTATTGTATTACAATATCAAAAAGGAACACCGCAATGATTACTCTCAGCTGTATTTATTAACCAGGTTTTCAATTTTGAAAATCCTGGTTATTAGATTGGGGTATGGCGGGCGGATGGGCGGATGGGCGGCTGGGCGGATGGGCGGGCGGGCGTCAAACGAAATTGTGTCCGCTCTGTAACTCTTCAACCCTTTGAAGAATTTTGATGAAACTTCAGACAAATGTTTACCACATCAAGATGACGTGCAGAACGCATGTTCCGCATGGCTGGCTCCAAGGTCAAGGTCACAGTGACATTAACATTGAAAATCCTGTCCGCTCTGTAACTCTTCAACCCTTTGAAGAATTTTGATGAAACTTCAGACAAATGTTTACCACATCAAGATGACGTGCATGAAAATCCTGTTTACATGATTTTAACTTGATTTGGCAGTCAAAGGTCATATCATCTTTGGAGGTAATTTAAAAAAGATATGATATATTATTTCATGTCTACTTTGTAACTTGTTTTTCATTATACAGAATTATCAATATAATTATAGTGAACAAATTCTTCTGTGCTGAACTCGTCCTACATTTCTCAACGGATTTTGTTCAACTTTCACAGAAGCTTTGTCATCAAGCACCCTGGCACATATTGTCGGGTTTTTGATTGGATAGTTTTTGACCTAATTATGGCCCTTTGTTTTTTTCCTTATACATAATATTATAGTGAACACTTCTTCAGTGGCAATTCCTCCTACATTATTCATGTTTTACATTGCACATAGTTACATTGTTTGTTGCTTGTATTTGTATTTCAAATACAACATATTTATCTACAATGGTGATAATTGAAAACCTGGTTTCATGGCATTGCCATGTTTCTTGTTTTTGTTTGCGCAGCGTACGCGTTGCCGTTGAACGCTGACGTCATTTTCTTTACATGCGTCTGTTTACAATTCCTTCATGCTTAAAAACAAGAAAAAAATTTGTTTGTTTTTCGTACAATTTTAAAAATTTGCAATGGAATATTGTTGTTGTTGTTTTATATGTATTAGGAAAACTCTAGAACAATTCTCCTGATAAGATGAATATTATTGCTGCACTTTGAAGTCTCAAACGTATCTGCATACGTCAAATTTCGTTACAAAATTACTCACGGGGTGGGGGAAATAAAATCACGTGTACCGAAAAATTTGAGTCAGTGACCCCCTAATTTCTTTAGTTATTTTGACTAAGTATACATTTTAAAGTACGTTTAAAGAAAAAAATCAAAAATTTATTTGAGGAATTTTTTGATAAGCCGCTTTAAATCCGAAAATTGCGGCTAAACTGAACGTCAAATTTTACACAAAATTGACAACTTTCTTTCCATTACTCAAACAATTTTCGGTGTAAAACGATAAATTTTATATCAGTTTAAAGGAAAAAATAATTTCTGTCGAATGCTTTAGGATTTAAGATATTTTGTCTGCCAATGGCGTTGAAATACCTGTAACAGTTGCCAAGGATACGCAACGACGTCATGTTCAAAAACGGGCTTTGATGGTCAACTGTCAAAGTGTCGCGTTCTACCTTAAGCTTGTCCGGAGCATAAGTCAGTCATTATAAGTCGGATTGACTTCAAACTTGGTATGCATGCTTCTTATAATGACCTGAAGTGCAGTGCACAAGAACCGGTACTTTGCATTTCTTATTTTTTGAGTTATTGCCCTTTGTTAATTTTCATACCTTATTTTTGTCCAGGCCATTACTCCTAAAGTATAAAAGCTATGGTCTTTAAACTTCATAGGATGATTGATCCAAATTCCTAAAAAAATGAAAAATTCAAAGGGAATTCCTAAAAAAGCCCTATTTTTTCACTTAAATTCCTATTTTTTTTTATGCCACCGCAGCATCTGCGATGCGGTGGCATATAGCGATTCACCTGTGTGTGTGTTAGTGTGTGTGTTTGTGTGTGTGTTATATAGATTATATAGTGAACTTAAAAAATCTTCTTGTGAAAAACCACTAGTCCAATTTCAACCAAACTTGGCAGGATTGTTCCTTGGGTGAAGTGCTTCCAAAGTTGTTCAAAGAATTTCATTCCATGCAGAAATCTGGTTGCCATGGCAACCAAAAGGAATTATAAGAATAAATTAAAAAAATCTTCTTGTAAAGACCCAAAAGGCCTAGAGCTTAGATATTTTGCATAAGGCATTGTCTGGTAGACCTCTAACAAGATTGTTCAAATTATAGCCCTGGGGTAAAAATGGCCCCGCCCGGGGGTCATTGATTTTCACTATGTACATATAGTAAAAACTTAAAATACCTTCTTGTAAAAACCCAAAAGGCCTAGAGCTTAGATATTTTGCATAAGGCATGATCTGGTAGACCCTTACCAAGATTGTTCAAATTATAGCCCTTGGGTCAAAATCGGGCCCCACCCGGGGTCATTGATTTTTCACTATATGTACATATAGTAAAAACTTAAAACACCCTTCTTGTAAAGACCCAAAAGGCCTAGAGCTTATATATTTTGCACAAGGCATTGTCTGGTAGACCTCTACCCAGATTGTTCAAATTATAGCCCTGGGGTCAAAATCGGCCCCGCCCGGGGGTCATTGGTTTTCCTTATATGTATATAGTAAAAACTTATAATAAAAACTTCAAAAAAAAAATTCTTCTAGCAATTGACAAATGCTAAAGGTTAGATATTTTGCATGAAACATTGTGTAGTAAACCTCTAGCAATATTGTTCAAATTGTAGCCCTGGGGTCAAAATTTCCCCCGCTTGGGGGTCATTAATTTTTTAATATATTCATAATATTAGTGACAAATGAAAAATCTTATTGTTCTGAAGGTACAAGGCTTGAAGCTTTAATATTTGTTAAAATAATATCATCTAAAGGTACTCTACAAAAGTTATTCAAATTTTGCCTCTTGTGTCAAAAATTAGCCCCGCCCCCGGTGGCCATAGGTTTTCCTTATATTATGTATATAGTAAAAACTTAAAAAATCATCTTCTCTAAATTTACAAAGGCTAGAGTTAAGATATTTTGCATGAAACATTGTGTAGTGAACCTCTTGCAAGATTGTTCAAATTATAGCCCTGGGGTCAAAATTGGTTCCGCCCCGGGGGTCATTGATTTTCATTATGTACATATAGTGAAAAAATAAAAAAATATTTTTGTCTGAAGGTACAAGGCATAGAGCTTTGGTGTTTGATATATAATATCATTAATAGGTCCTCTACAAAGTTGTTCAAAATTTTCCCCTGGTGTCAAAATTGGCCCTGCCCGGGGCAGTGATTCTCATTATGTACACATAGTAAAAACAGAAAATAAAACAAATGTTTTCTGAATGGGAGAAAGCTATAGCTTAGATATTTTGACTTGAAATGTTATTTTGGTGGACCTGTATCAAAATTGTTTTGAATTAAACCCTTGGGCCAAAGGGACAGTGACCTACTTTCTTGTCCTTTGATGTACAGCAATGACATTTTGACCATGTGCACAGTTTTAGTTGTAAAATTGAACTTTGATATCAGGTGACCTAGATTTTGATGATGTGACCTACTTTCTTGTCCTTTGATGTACAGCTATGAAATTTGAACCATGCGGTGGCATAGCATTTTTCTCAAATGCAATCTTGTTTATCTTTTGTGATAAACATATCGCGAAACAACCATGTTTTAATCACAACTTAAATTCGAACACAGTCAGTGGAGCTGATGCCATGTCTGACTAAATTGCATAAAGTCACATGTTGTGTTTACTTCAACTCCTGCAGAAATGCCATTCTTGATTAATCACCAGATGTTATCAGAAAAATAATAAGAAACTGTTTGTTTTAAATGGAACAATGAAAATTGTCCGACTTTGACTATATCAAAATAGTCACCTGTTTAAAATTGTGATAAAAAAATTTCCAAGGAAGTGACATTTTTATTGGCTATAAAGTTTTACCATTTACCTCAGTCTTAGGTGTATTTAAAGCAACTATTTATATGATGAACCACTAAATTTAATCAAACATTATGAAGGGGTCCTTATTAATAAAATCTTAATTTGTAATCAAGTTATTTTCAAGTGATGACTGTAGAACAGATCTTTTGTAAGTGATACCAGCTGGCAGATCTAGACAACCCGGCTGTAGAATGTCCATGGTTTCCATGGATTTATGCATGGCCAATTGTCCATGGAGTATTGGAACGTCCATCCATGGACAAAATTTAATGTCCATGGATGATGTCCATGCTGTCCAGGGATATCCGGACGTGGACAATGTCCATGGAGAGAATGGACAATGTCCATGGAGAACATGGACATTGTCCATGCTCTCCATGGACATTGTCCTTACTTTCCATGGACAATGTCCATCCACTCCATGGACAATGTCCATGCTTTCCATGGACAATGTCCATGCTTTCCATGGACAATGTCCATGCTTTCCATGGACAATGTCCATGCTATCTGTTGCTTATAGCAGACTTCTTTCGACTGATGAATGTTCAGGCAGGTTCTCTACTGGAAACTGGACATACTGAAAACCTCAATATATAAATTATATAAAATAGATTTATACATATAAATACATTTACAGTATTTAGAGGATGTTTCTTATTTGCCTCTAGTAATTATTTATAGACAGATCAATGATTAAAAGAAGAAAGAAACACTATTACTTTGAAATCAAGAGTTTTAATGAGGTAAATTGTTTGACATTTATTTCTTCATTTCTTTGAATTTTGCTTGACACAACATGGCTTCAAAATGTCTCTAAGTTTCTCTCTCACCATCACAGGGGTCACATGAGGGTAGTGTTTGGATACAAATACTGAAATAAATAAAGTTTATAAGTTAATAATGTACAATATTTTAAGCATTTGAAAGAAGTAAGAAAAACAATAGCATAATATCAGTTCCAGGGGCTTCCAAGGCCATGTGATTATGGTCAAAGAATTTTTAAACCACTGGCTACACAACTATGTATTTTCCAATAGCCACAGTTGGCTTCTTATATATGAGGAAGCTTAATCCTGAGCTAAATTAGGGAACACCTGTGGTAATACTCAGGATGATGCAGCTCAAAAGGGCATCTTATGTGTTCATCAACTAGTAGACATGGAGAGACATTTTATAACCTTTACTGTGTTTTAGTTAACTAAGTTTAAAACTTCATCTCAATTTGAATAATTCATTTCACATTGAAACTTTCAAAATCTAGTTTTAAAACAAAAACATACTGTATATTCCTTGAAACTTTTCCTGGTCTATTGCTGGCTTCTTTTCCCCTGATTTTGCAGGTGCCATATTCCTCTGCTTTATATTATATATAAGGTAAAGAAAAGCTGCATTGCTACCTTGCTGTAGTTTAATTGGAACACCTGCAACCTTGCTTTCAAGGGTGACTCTGTAATAAAAAATGTGTAGATTAAAGATGAAAGTTTATAAATAATGTCATACACTACTGAATCTTATACATCACTTTTAAGACTTGATATTGTTGTGTACCCATAATGTTAGCATTATAGAATAAGAGCATCAAGAAATAAATGATGAATTAAGATAAATAAACAAAAACTAAACAGTCCTTAATAATTCAAAAAGGACTATGTTTTAATGAGAATGTTATATTCTTCTTTACTAAATCTGTTAACTTTGTTTTTAAAGAATGCTAACTGGAGATTGCATAATATTCTTTTACTTATCTTGTTCAATCATTGATGAACATAAAATGTATACTCATTATTTTTTAATAAATTAAATGCTTACCGACTTTAAAAATATGCATCTAAAATAATTTGTATTTAATTCTTTAGTGAAAATAATTGTTTTTCTGCATAAATGTGTTTAAAAGTTATTTACCTGAAACTAATTCTACTATGATTCTTCTGAATATCTTCTTGCCTCAGGTCATTGATCTTCAGGTTCAATTACAACAACAAAACACTTCCTGAATCTTGTCACACTTAGATAAATGTTTTCTTTGAAAATTCCAAAATATGCTCCCTAACATTTAAAACAAGATAATATCTCCAAAATGCTAAAATACTAAATAGATCCTTTATGGTTTCCACTTTTTCTGTAACCCAAATGTCTGAGATTTCAAATTTTCAAACAAATAACTGGACTGTTCTATCATAATGTGAAACAGGGATAATCCAAAAAAATCAAAGCACCCATTATTTTATTTATACATTTATTGAAGGTATAAATATATCAAATGATAAATGAATGAAGAATTTGAAAATCATAATATGTTTTGAAAGATATTCACAGTTGAAATGTCTTTCTAGACTGCTTGTTTTGAAATGTATAATACTCAGATTCTCCCTAAAAAAATCACATGAAACACTCTGGTCAATCCCAGAATGCCCCATGAGAAGATTAGTCATGCATAGATACTCCAGATGGTGCCATTAGTTTTATCTGATCTCTTTTATATAGTGAGATCTGCTTGTGAAATCTTTGTGAATGCAGTATTTATTTATCCTAATTACCATACTGGTTAATAAAATATGACTATTATATACATGTATGTGTTTATTGTACACATAAACTTGTTTATAATAAGTAAATTGTAATTTTTAATTCCAATGTTATTAAATAAACATTATAATTATATACATTTCTCTTCAGTATCTTTAGTAATGTATAAGTACTCAAAGTTTAAGTTATGCTTATTATAGAAAATAAATAAAATTTAACATTGAATTGAAAGCTCTTTTATAAATCTGTTTAAATAACAAATTTGTAAAATACTTTGATATTTTCACTTATAACTAATCTAGAAGTTTGGAAAGTGTCACAATTTTATGTGACTTATAAACACTTTTTTTGTTTAATAGATATCTAGTAACAATGATTATAAATTATTAAAATAATTTAAAAAAAAACACAAAAAAAAACAAAAAAACCCAAAACATTCTGATCATCATTTATTTGAAAACTACATGTATGTGTGATTATGATTAATTATAATACCTATATAGCCATTAATATATGTATTTTATGGCAACAAGGATTTTTTTTATTAATAACTTTTTCCATGTTTTCACACTTAGAAATTTTTGGCTGATTCCTCACAAAGAAATTGCTTCAGAAATTTCTAAGTACAAATATTTTGACAAGGAAGTTGGACATGGACAATGTCCATGCTGAAAATGGATATCCATGGACCAAATCCCTCCTTTCCATACTGTTCTGCATGGACCAACCATGGACAATTGTCCAGGGCTTGAACTTATCCATGGATATCCATGGATTTCCATGCTCAGGCCATGCATATCCATGCTCTATCCATGGATTAAAACAGATATCCATGGACAATCTACAGCCGGGAAGTTTCCATTGCTAATTATAAAGTGGGTAAGGTAAACAAACTGGCAGTAGTGATTGGATGCTTTAACCATTTTGCTACCCAATTAGGGTACTAAGAAGTGACACCTTCAGCTGCCCTTTTTGTACACATTAACATGTACTGAACATATGTTATAACATTATGGTGTAAGTTTTTTAAAATCTGGAAAAAAAACTGTTGAAAATCATTGAAAAAACTGACACTGTTGTGAAATTTCTACAATTTTTAGTAGCCTGATTTATCTTGAACAAATTCTTCATAGGTGTATACCCTGCTGTTTGAATTTAAGTTTTAATATTCCTAGGAATGACTTGAGTGGGTCATATTGTTTTTATTGTTTTTTTAAGACAGATCAAGACTTGTTGAAAATGTACCAACCTTAAAATGAATAAATGTTGATAATAAATGCATTTATAGCTAAAATAAATCTTAAGCATAATTTCCCCTTCCATTTATTATTGGATAATCATAGCTTAACTTATTAGTCCCCTACCGGTTTACCGGAGGGGACTTTAGGTTTACCCTCTGTCCGTCCGTCTGTCCGTCCGTCTGTACGTCCGTCTGTCAGTCCGTCAGTCCGTCCGTCCACAAAACTGGATCCTGCGATAACTTGAAAAGTACTGAAAATATTTTTATGAAACTTGGTATATGGATAGATGGCAGTATGGAGATTATGCACGTCTTTTTCTTTTCTTCCTATGTTGAAAATTCTGGTTGCTATGGCAACAAATAGGCTGAAAATATTGCAAATTTTACACATAAACTGGATCCAGTGATAACGCAAAAAGTACTGGAAATATTTTTATGAAACTTGACAGATGGGTAGATGGCAGTCTTGAGATAATGCACGTCTTTTTCTTTTCTTCCTATGTTGAAAATTCTGGTTGATATGGCAACAAATATGCTGAAAATATGGCAAATTTTACACATAAACTGGATCCAGTGATAACGCAAAAAGTACTGGAAATATTTTTATGAAACTTGACATATGGGTAGATGGCAGTCTTGAGATTATGCACGTCTTTTTCTTTTCTTCCTATGTTGAAAATTCTGGTTGCTATGGCAACACATAAATTTTTTTCTGAATTTGCATCTTTAATTCAAGAGTTATCTCCTCTTTAAGAATTTTGCTTTTAAAATGTTATATTTTGGTAACAGGGATGTTTCAAATATTAACTTTAGAGTGTCCTCAGTCCGTCTGTCTGTCTGTCTGTTCATAAAAACTGTTTCCTGTGATCACTTTTAAAGAACTTTTCTAACAAATTTACTTAAAATAGAGAAAAATTGAAACATTAGTGAATGGCCAATGGCCCTTCAGAATGTTGATGGGGTTCTAACCGGTAGGGGACTTATGGATTGCTTGCAATACTATGATAATTGCTTGTTGAATATTGGTTGTTCCAGGATACTTATAACTTTGAAAATGTTTTCATTCTAGTTATGTTTTAATGAAGGTTTTCAGCTCTGTTTAATTAAAGGCAGTTGACCAGTGAATCAATTTCTTCACTGGTGACTATGGAACACTGGTAACGCATTTGCTATAACCCAACTAGAGCATTATTTGTGAGTTACTTTGTGTCAAATATTCAAAGTTGAGCCCATATCATGGTCTTTTTAAGCCATAATTTAGTTATGAAATTCCAAATTTTAGCCCAAAAATTTCTTTTATTAACCCTAAAATTCCTAATTTTAGCCCTAAATTTTTTTAAAAATTGCCCTAAAATTTGCCCTAATTTTTTGTCAGAAGGTGCTGGACAGCCTGTAGATCTCATTAAGAAAAAGTGCAGTGTACAAGAACCGGTACTCTGCACTTCTTATTTTTGAGTTATTACCCTTTATTAATTTTTAGCTCGACTTTTTTTTTTGAAAATTTTGCTTGTTCATGCTGTTATTGGCTGTAACTTTGTTATTTATGAATGGATTGTCTTCAAACTTGAACATAATAATCTTCAAGGATATCCCTTAAAAATAATCAGACAGACCTTGACCTTCACTCATAAATGACCTTGACTTTGAAGGTCAAATTATTGAAATTTTCATTTTTTTGGCTATTATTGGCTGTAACTTAGTTATTTTTTGAATGGATTGTCTTCAAACTTGAACATAATAATCTTCAAGGATAATTCTTAAAAATAACCCGACAGACCTTATTGTAACTGACTGTAACTTTGCTATTATAACAGAACATGCTTGGGCTCTTTAATGACCTTGAAGGTCAAATTACAGATTTGTGCATGAAATGACCATAATTATATATTTATTGGTGTGTGTATATATCTATCATTGCGTGTTTCTATTTTTAGAATTGCTTGTTTCTATTTTTAGAATTGCATGTTACTATTTATAGATTTGCGTGTTACTTTTTTTAGAATTGCGTGTTACTATTTTTAGAATTGCTGGTTTCTATTTTTAGAATTGCAAGTTACTATTTTTAGAAATTGCGTGTTACTATTTTTAGAATTGCTTGTTTCTATTTATAGAATTGCGTGTTTCTATTTTTAAAATTGCGTGTTTCTATTTTTAGAATTGCGTGTTACTATTTATAGAATTACATGTTTCTGTTTTTAGAATTGCATTTTACTATTTTTAGAATTGCGTGTTTCTATTTATAGAATTGCGTGTTACTATTTTTAGAATTGCGTGTTACTATTTTTAGAATTGCGTGTTTCTATTTATAGAATTGCGTGTTTCTATTTATAGAATTGCGTGTTTCTATTTTTAGAATTGCGTGTTTCTATTTTTAGAATTGCGTGTTACTATTTATAGAATTGCGTGTTTCTGTTTTTAGAATTGCATTTTACTATTTTTAGAATTGTGTGTTTCTATTTATAGAATTGCGTGTTACTTTTTTTAGAATTGCGTGTTACTATTTTTAGAATTGCGTGTTTCTATTTTTAGAATTGCGTGTTTCTATTTATAGAATTGCGTGTTTCTATTTATAGAATTGCGTGTTTCTATTTTTAGAATTGCATGTTACTATTTATAGAATTGCATGTTTCTGTTTATAGAATTGCGTGTTTCTATTTATAGAATTGCGTGCTACTATTTTTAGAATTGCATGCTACTATTTTTAGAATTGCGTGTTTCTATTAAAAGAATTGCGTGTTTCTATTTTTAGAATTGCGTGTTTCTATTTATAGAATTGCGTGTAACTATTTATAGAATTGCGTGTTACTGTTCACAGAATTGGGTGTTTCTATTTATAGAATTGCGTGTTACTATTTATAGAATTGCTTGTTACTATTTTTTAGAATTGCGTATTTCTATTTAAAGAATTGCATGTTTCTATTTATAAAATTATGTCTTTCTATATACATATATATATATATATATATATATATATATATATATATATATATACAAAATGCATAAACAAAACTAATGTGACAAGACAGACCAATTAAATTGATAATCAAAGCGCTGAAAGCACTGATGTTTTTTTTTCACTCAAGTAGTGAATGTATTAAGACATGAGGTTATAACAGTATTATTTACACTATGTGCACATGTCGGACAGATGCACAGCTGCCTAGCTGACACAGATCAAATGGAATCTGGTAACCAGTTGCTATTTTTTTTTTTGGAATAGACCGCTTAATCAATTTTGTTGTATACAGGCTAAAATTCGTGGCGTGACCTATTACGCTGCGGAGCTGCCCTAACAAGAGTGATAAGAATTAAAGGCCCGAAACACTGTTAGGGGTTTCTTACTGACGATGTCAATTCTTTGTTTTGGCTTTTTCCTGTCTGTCAGATCGTGTCAGACTCTTTGACTGTGGTTATCACGATTGTATGAAACTACTTATCTGGTGTTAAGTGCTGTGTGTGCTTCACTTCTGCGTAGTAATTATTATTGTCCTACTTGGACAGTGGGTCTGACTCTGTTTGGGAGATAGATCAAAACTATTTGTCAGATATTTTTATTGCTTGTTTCTATCTTAAATGGTTAAGATTGTGGTTGTTTTGAATTGGAATGGTCGCCACGATTTTGCTTTGGGATTGTTGAAAGCGGCGTAAAAAACCTGAAAAAAGTAAAAGCATTTCTTGACTTTTCTCTTAGCAAGACCCAAACTGATGTCAGACAGAATGCAATAGCTATGCTGCTGTAGGTTTGTGTGCAAGTTTGGTACAAATAAAAATAAATGGAGGACTATAGT